ATGTGCTCCATGAGTGGGGAACCTGTGGCCTCGTGGCACTATGGAGGAATGGGAACGGACAGGGTCCCTTCTTACAGTCTAGTTGAGAGATGAGAACTTGAAATTGGGAACCTGTAAAAGCCAAAATGATTTGATTAAATTGTGTGTTATAGGAGATTATTGGGTGCTGCTGTAGATTGGGAAAAGCTTAGTGGAGGAGGTGGATCATGAGCTGGGCCTCAAAATGTGGGTGAGGTTTGGTTAGGTGGAAGGGAAAGGAGATAGTGTCTAAGAAGATAGCCTTAAGGATTACATTAAGGAGAACGTTCAGGATTCCCTGGATTGCAGAAGGGTCTCCTCTGGCCTGCAGGAGAGTTCGTAGGAGAGAGAAGAGTATGTGAAGATTTCAGTGTCCTTTGTCAAAGAACATTGTCACTGAGTGAGGTTTCCCATCTTAGGGGCAGCTTACTGTAGGAAGAACCCAAAATGCACAAAAAGGAAAATTCTGGAGGGCATTGCCATCAGAACTGGGTCTTCGGATCTGTTTCTTCCTCATGTACCCATACAGTACAGAAAAGATTGTCCCTCTGTCTCTTCTCTGTAGGTGGAAGTGCGGCCCATGATGTATGTAGCGTTGACTTATGACCACCGACTGATTGATGGCAGAGAGGCAGTGATTTTCCTTCGAAAAATCAAGGCAGCAGTGGAGGATCCTCGTGTCCTGCTACTTGACCTTTAGGGAAAATCGTATTCCCTAAAGCTCCAGCTCACAGAGACTGAAAACCTGTCTTCCCCTACTCCGTCATGCGTACCTGGATCAGCTGGGCGGGAGACAGCTCCGTGTGCTGCTGGCCTAAGGGAAGCCAGAGCACTAGGCGACCAGCAGCTACAGCTCCTTTTAGAGCGTTCCTGTCACTCTCTCCACTGCCTTTGTCTTACACGAATGTTCTTACTTCCTTATTATGCTCAAAGGGGGGGGGGAGAGAGAGAGAGTATTGATGGAGCCTCGTTAATATCTTAGCCTTTCTTCCATGTATCCTCCCCAGAGATGATTTTGCTTTTTCACTATGGCAGCATATAATAGAAAAACTGCTAGATAAATTGTACCTCCTCTGTCTTACACCTGCCCAGTTTTCACAAATCCAACATCCTCAGTGGTGCAGGAAGAAGATCCTGGCCCCCAGCATTACGAAGCTATATAGCCCTGGCTCTGATCTTTCCAACCCTGGACCCTGTGCAGTTTCTTTACTCAAATACAGGGGGAGGAGTACTGCTTTGTTTATTAAAGGGCACCTTCCTACTTAGGTAGCCTTGGTTGGCTTTAAAATGCCTCTTCTACCTCTTTGGGAAGCACAACCCAGGTGGCCTGAGGTTTTGGGGGGGGGGGAGGCGGGGAATGTGAACTGGCTCAAAAGACATCAGCTTGAGATACTCTTGTCTCCAGAGGTGAGAGTGCATCAGTTTTGCACTTAGACCATGGGTCTTATCCCCAGAAAGGCCCGTCTCTGCACAACCATGCACAGTCCTGCTGTGCTCACCTGCCTTTCTCTATGAGTTCCTAGCAATCATACCAGCAAAGGGGTGGGTTTAGAAGCATCTTCATTCTCGGGTGGAAGTGGAACAGCTGCACCTTGGAGTCAGTGGAGGTAGAATTTGGTTGAGATTGATGGAAGGTCTCTAGTAAAGTGTTGCTGCATTGTTTTTCTGGACTTGTATTTGAAGTTCAGATTGATCTTTCTGCCGTATGTGAACAGATGAGGGCTCTGAGCATGACCAGTTCTGGTCTTGTGTAGTGGGCTGGCAGGAGAGAGGAAGCAATGTTGGCTCCTCCATGTGTCGACACAGGGCCAAGATGAGGATAGTATACTTCCTGAAGTTCTCCACCTTAGTGAGAAGCCAGCTGTGAGTTGTTAGTGTAAGATAATGAAATGTCTGGAATCATCTTTAAAATACTGCCCAGTGTTGGTGGGCAAAAAATCATTGGGGTCCCTTGGAAGATGTTTCAGTGTATACTTGCTATTGTGAGGGCTACTGGAAATCCATCAGTATGTATCCAAATATACCTAGTTCTGAGGCTGCTGGAACCATGGGGGCCATTTATTAGGGCCCAGCATGAGAGGGGTGAGGAGGGCGGAATCCAGTACTGAGTGCCTGCAGTGTCTACTACTCTATCTCCAATATACAGAACTTGTAATTAAAATATTTAAAGAAACCAATTTTAAAAGAAATTAAAGGGGAAATGTTCTCAAACTGTGTCTTAACTTCTGGCCTCCGGTTTACATATAAAAGGCAAGGTTACTAGTTTTTAAAAGAACCATTAGCCCTTAGGTTCGCAGCCTATTCTGTCTTTTTTTCACTTTTCTCCTGATGCCTTTGGAGTAAGTTGACTACAGTACTCAGATTGGCCAGAAGCCACAGCTATACTACTGGCTGCCTATAGAAGAAAAGGAGCTTCACACTTGAAATTATTGCCGGTGCCTCCCTTCTGTCCCAGAGCTTCCTCTCCACTGCTTTCTGTCTCTCTTTACTTTTCAAAAAGGCATTTGCTGCTTTTCACTAGTCACTTTCCCTAAACTAGCTTAGAGGGAGTAGCACACCAGAGGTCTGCCATTCGGAAGCTCAGTATAGCAAGAGTAGGAGCTTATTCTCCATGAGACCTTTTAAGGCTGAGCAGTGTCCTGGAGGGTAGCCTTAGACTCAGATATGGAAAGGGGGTTACTGAATTACCCTTATGGATCAGGTGGCTGGTCTCATGACTACATTTGCTAATTAATACTTGGTAATTCCACATAACGTTAAGCCACGTTCATTTTGGCTAAATGGGCCTCCCCAGCTGTCACTGAGGACAGCCTCCAAGTGAACACCCTTGTCCTTGGAGGGGAAAACACCAGATTTGCACACACCCTCAACTTTCCTGGATTATCTGTCACTGACTGTGGTTAGCTACCTCTAGGGCCATTGATTTGGAAGAATAATAATGCCTACAGTTTCCAGGCCTTTTCACTCATTTTTACTTCTCATGAGTCTATTGGCATCTCAGGAAATTAGAACCAGAGGGAACCTAGAGATCGTCTTGTCAAGTATAAAGTGAGAAGACAAACCCAGAGATCATACATGGTAAGCAGAGCCAGAATTTGAACCCAGGCTCTTTGACTGCAAATCCGAGATCCTCGGCACTTACTTGCTTCCTCTGTGGAATGAAGTAGCCCAGACCATCCTTATGCTAAAACATATCAGGCGTGCAGCAAAGTTGTTTTTGCACGTCCTAGTTCTTGTGAATTACTATCCTCTCGTCCCCAGGGACGAGAACACTCGTCCGTAATATGTGGAAGCTTTTCCCTTCCCCATGGAGTTTGATTCTGGGGATCCTTCCCCAGTCTCCCCTGTTGGGATGGTTGTTGTATGAATAAGACACTTGGCGGAACTACAAGTTTTATTTGGGAACATACATTTGGAGGGGAAGGGTGGCGGTCATGCTGGGTGGGGGCGGGGGGTGGGTGTGAGCCACAGTCAGGCATAGGCCAGGCTATCCTATGTCCTGTGCCCTGGAGACTGCCCAAGTAATATCCTAGATAACTCTTATCTGAGTGTTACACTTGGAGAGATGCTGGCTGTTCACACCACACCAGGAATTAAGTATAGAACTATTGTCTAGAGGGGGCCAGCTGAAGTACCCTCGGGGCAGAAAAGATGTGTTTGACATCCTCTCCCTCCATCCCTAGACCTCAGAGACCCAACTCCCATCATCTCCTGGCCTTGGCTAAAACAACAGGTTTAGATCAGTTTGAACCTCAAGACTAGGATGCAGAATCACATGGGAAGGACAAATAACCAAGTTGGGGACTTAGAGCTCCCTCATTTCTGTAGCGGAAGAACCTGAGAAGGGCAGCTAGATGGCACAGTCGATAGAGCACCAGCCTTGGATTCAGGAAGACCTGAATTCAAATCTGGCTTCAGACACAACACTTACAAGCTGTGTGACCCTGGGCAAGTCACTTCATCCCATTGCTTAGCAAAAAAAAAACCTCAAGAGCCAAGTGGCAGAGCCAAGATTTGAACCCAAGTCCAGCAACTACCCCCTCTGCCCCCCAAACTAGGCTGTCTGCTCTGGGTACTGCCTGTCATTTGAGATACTGGTAGGAATCAGGAAACCAAACTTGTATTCCTCCAAAGAAGCAGGTTCTGCACTTGCAGAGCACACTTTGCCAGGGAGCGTTTCCTTTTCCCTTCCCTTCCCTTCCCTTCCCTTCCTTTTCCTCTGCCTTGGGTGGGTGGAGACCCAGTGCCTGGGGAGGGAGAGGCCAAGTAAGGGAGACTACTGGCCAGGGCTTTCAGCACCATGTGTTTCACGTTTTCCCAGTAGCACAGGGTGTATCCTCCCCACAGCCCTTCCTCCTGATCTCTTCTCATCCCCTCTCCTATTTGTTCCGAGATTGCCATGCTGTACTAGAACAGTGGAGGCCAGCATTGGGAGGCTGGAGTGGAAGGAAAAGCATCATTCCAGGGTTTGTTGTTTGTTTTTTCCTCACCAAGCCCTTCATAGACTCATTTTTCCAGTCTGCTCTCACTGCCTACTTTGGGAAAACACCGACCAGCAAGTTGTACTTAGCTAATGGCTAACATGAGAGGTTTCGGTCTGGCTAAGACAGTCCTGTCTTGCAACCACCTGTGCCAGTGGATAAGTACCTCAGGGAGGTTTCCCAAGAAATTCCTGGGCTGGGACGGTCTCACTAAAATTTAAGGTTCCCATTACACCTGTGAAATACGGTAGGTCATTTGGTGAACTACTACGGCTCAGCTGAAGATGGCAACCTGGTCTGTCAGTAGTTCTGCACCATTTTAACAGTTTATTGACAGCTCAGCGTTCCAGAGCACAAAGCTAACCAACCTCAGAGAAAGGCACCCTCTAGGTCCATGAGGTTTGAGCAGGGAAATTTAGACTTGAGGAATCCCTCGGATACTGGAGTCCTCACCGCCCCTCCCTCTGCTTTGGCTAATTGGAAATACAATCACCTTGTGTATTATCGTAATTGCTTATATTTATATAATGATGTACAGTTACAAAACACCTTCCCACAAATCTCCTTTGAGCCTCATGATAACTCTATGAGGTAGGCAAGGTAATTATTGTTTTACAGATGAGGAAACTGAGGCTCGAGAAGTGTGGTGAGTTGCCCAATGTCACACCCACTAAGTGGCAGAGGTTAGGTTACATTAGTTTCAATATTTTCCAATTTCAAGGTTCCCTGTGGGTCTGTCTTATCATGCCTGGGTTCATTTCAGGGTAGGAATGAGAAATGGGAAATGAGTAGCCATGGCCTTAAGTGAAACAAACTCACGGGAGGGGGGAGTCGAAGGCCTAAGAGAGAGACCTAAGCCTGTGCTCCTCCAGGATGCAGGATGCAGGATTCAGCTCCTCCACCAAATGCTTGACTACTTGGTGGCATGAGGAATCCCAGGGTTTCAGGCTGAGGCCTTGGACCCATTGGACTGGAGTTCTCCTGTGGACTCTGCTAGCCCAGAAAGCCAACCTGGGTCTTCCAGGAGGCTCTCTGCCTCCCCGCTATTGACCTCATCCCACCAGCTTGTTCCACTGGATGTTGCTAAAAAATGGGTGAGATTTGAGCTTGTTGACACCTCCTCCTCCAGCACCCAGGCGCCGGCCGGGATCAAACTGTAACAGCTGAAGAGGAGAAGGCAGGAGTCAGTCAGATGAGCGGAGCCCCAGTGCCCATCCCCGCTAGTGCCTGAAGCCCATCTTCATCATCTCTTCATCTCTGCCTGCTCTCACCTCCCCTCATTTCGTGGGCACTGAGGCTCTGAGTGTATCCAGTGAGAACCTATGGAAACTCCAGGCCCTCTACAGGATCTGGGGACAAGGAATGGAAGGTCCCTCCTCCCCTCTCAGATATGCAGGCTGCTAGGTACTCGGCCTGGTTTTCTTCTTTTTCTCACTATCTTTGACCTAGTAAACATCTCCCAGGAAACGGGATGAGAAATCAGGTCAGTGAATTTTCTCCTAATATCCTGCTGAGGCAACAGCCTTTTTCTATTGCACTGGCTCCATTCCAGTTACCAGGCTGTTTGGCCAGTAAAATCACAAATCTTTCCTGCCATCTGGAATCTCCCTGAGAAATCCCAGATCTGTCCTTTCCTATCCCACCACCTAGTAGCATCGGTAGCAGTGATGTAGTGGTGGTGGTAGTAGTAGTAGTAATAGTTATCATCATCATTGTAATAATGGTAGTGGTAGTAGTGGTGGTGGTGGTGGTGGTAGTAGTAGTAGTAATAACATTTATATAGCACAGGTTGGCATGATGCTTTTCGTATATTATCTCTTTTGATCCTCACAGTAACACTGTGAGGTTGGTACTATTATTATCCCAGTATTACGGATGAGGAAATTGTAACTGGGAGAGCTTGCGTGATTTCCTCAGGGTCACCTAGAAAATAAGTGTCTGAGACAGGTCTGAGACTCACTCCAAGTCTCAAACTCTAGACACCACGCCCATGTAGGTGCCCAGTTGAGGACAATAAGTCTCAAGGCCTGGCTTGTCTATAGAAAAGCTTCTTCCCTTGTGTCTCTGTGTCCATCCCCATCTTCCTGTGTGCATTTCTACTGTTCCTCCCCAACTAAGGCGGCTCGTACCTCAGTGAGCAGGGATGTAGCTGGTCGACTGAGCCACTCAGGCAGATGGAGCCTAGTGTGCACGTGGATTCCAGAGGGGTGGTTCTGGGACAGCGACTGAGGAGAGAGAAGGTGGACAATTTAGGACAAATTCCTAAAATCCTTGAGGGATTAAGGTTTTTTTCTCCTTGAGGGTTATTTTTTCCCAAACCATAGAGATCTTCATTCATCATGGGCAGGGTTAGACTAATGTCAGTCCAGCAAACCAAGAAAAAAGTCTCGTGGTGTCACTGGATGGTTTCTCCCACCCTCTTTCCTCCTCCATTCGATTTCTTGTGGACTATAAAGATTTGACAACAAAATTACCTTTGCTTTTTATTTTAATGGGCTTTAGAAATATTAATGTCATAATTGATTGGCACGCTAGAAAGGCATGGGGGAGAGAACCCTGACCCAGAGGGCAGAGTTGTGAAGTCTAATTGGGTCTGTTGGGAGGTGATTCTAGGTCCAGTGCTGGGAGAGACCTTAGAGGTCATCTAGCTCGCCCCTCCACCCTTTCTTTACAAATGAGTAAACTCATTTGCCTCAGAAACTAAATGACTTGCCCAAGGTCATAAATACAAGTCATAAATAAAACAAAATTAGAACTTAGGTTCTAGGGGCAGCTAGGTGGCACAGTTCATAGAACACTGTCCCTGGAATCGTGAGGACCTGAGTTCAAATGTGACCTCTGATACTTACTAGCTGTGTGACTCTGGGTAACCCCAATTGCCTTAAAAAAAAATAAGAAAAGGGACAGCTAGGTGGCGCAGTGGATGGAGTACTGGCCCTGGATTCAGGAGGACCTGAGTTCAAATCCAGCCTCACATATAACACTGACTGTGTGACCCTGGGCAAGTCACTTAACCCCATTGCCTAGCCATTTAGAAAAGGCAAGAAAATGAGGAATAACTAGAAAGGGGCAGCTAAGCGGTACAGTGGTTGGAGTGCTGGACCTGGAGTCAGGAAGACCTGAGTTCAGATCCTCAGACAATCACTAGCTGTGTGACCTTGAGTAAGTCATTTAACCTCAGTCTGTCTTGGTTTCTTCAAGTGTAAAATGGGGGTATTAATAGTACCCACTTCCCAGGGTTATTGTGAAGGTCAAATGAGATAATATTTGTAAAGCACTTTGCAAACCTTAAAGCACTATAGAAATGCTGGCTGTTACTGTTATTGGCTCTAGAGGAAAATCTGTCTAGGTAATAAAAAGAGATCTTAAGGTCCAGTAAAGAGGTACTGGAAGGAATTCAGGTAGATTAGAGAGCCACTAAGTCAGAGGTTAGACGGCTGCACCCTGGAACCAAAGGAGTAAAGGTAAAAACATGAAGGCAACTGCTCTGATGGAGATCCCGAGTTGGAACCGTTAAGTGACAGGCGGGTGGAGCAGCTAAGTGGTGCAGTAGACAGAGCACCCGGGCTCACCTAACCCCAATTACCTCCCCGCCCCAAAATGAAAGAAGTAGGTCACTAGTAATAATGCAGTGCCTGGAATCACAGAATATTAGGCATTGGAAGGGATCTCCAAGGTGCTTCTTAACATAGTGCCTGGCACTTCATAAATGCTTGTTCCCTTCTCTAGTAATAATAACAACAACAACAGTATTTAAATAACTCTTTAAACTTTATATATGGCAACTCATTTGATCTTCATAAGAACCCTGGGAGGAGGTAAGTGCTATTATTATCCCCATTTTTCAGATGAGGAGACTAAGGCAGAGAGAGGTGAAGTACTTGCCCAAGATCATACAACTGGCTAGTATCTAAGACAGGATTAGAACTCGGGTCTTCTTGACTCCAAATCCTATCCACTATACTACCTAGCTGACCTAGCTACTCTTTGGAGCTCTCTCTTCAAAAGGGTATGAATTTATGTAGAATCAAACTGCTCTAGTCCAGCTCACATCTTTTCGTCTTTTCCAGGAGGATAGGGTGCGACACTTTGGTCAAGTGTTTTGCTAAAATCTAATTAAATTATATCTGCAGCATTCCTTTGATCTATCAGTATAGTAATTCATCCAAAAAAGGAAAGGAAAGAAATGAGGTTACAAGTTGGAGCAGGTTATTTCAAAGCTCTCTTCCAGTTTGAAATATATGATCCTATTGGCATTCTAATGCTAATATCCTCAAAGGCCTCGTTCTCCCCAAAAGCAATGAAATTCATGCTGGGCTTACTGTGCCCTCCCACCCCTTCTCACCTCGATCCCAAAGCTCTTTTCATAGAGGGCTGAGCTTACCATTCCAGTTAGAAGTTCATACAGCAGAGACCCAAAGCTCCACCAATCACAGGCTTCCGTCAGCTCAGAAATCCCGCCCACCTCTGCAGGGGCAAGAGAACGCCTTTACGCCTGGGCTTCTAAGGTCTACGTTTCATGGCTCGCTGACCTCACCCATTAGCACTCATCCCCTCTGCCACCCCGATCCCCAGCCTACCGTCTTTCCCATCCCTCTGGCCACTCCTAGATGCCTAGTCTCTTCAGCCTTGCCAAAGAGGGGAGAGAGATATAGACAAAGGCGATGCCTTGGTGGAAGGATTACTCTTCCCATGGAGCTTTTGGAGAGGCTCAAAGGTATCATGGCAGGATGATCTGCCTCTTGTGGAAATTCAAGTTCCCCTTCTTCCAGGTCCCCTTTCCCCAGTTCCCCAGTCTAATTCAGAGGGGCCCGGTGAAGGTGGCCAGTCTGTCTCCTTGCCTGGGGCACTGTACAGGTTTTCCAGAGCTTCACTGCAGTACCGGGGCTCCACTTCAGTCCACTGGCCAAAGTAGGTGAGACGGATGTGACCTTTATCCCCAGCATTGGAGCAGAATGGAAGATGGGAGGGTTGGTAATTGAGTGGGGAGGAGGGGAGAAAGGAAAGGTGGGGTTCAAAGGGAGCAAGGAAGGAAGAATGGGAGGGAGGGAGGGAGGAAAAAAGGGATGAAAGGAGGGAGGACAGAAGAAAGAGGGAGGGAGGAAAGAAGAAAGCAAGGAAGGAATTGAGGGAAGAAAGGAAGGAAGGAGGAAAAGAAAGAAAGCAAGGGAAGGGAGGGATGACAGAAAGAGGGAGGGAGGAAAGAAGAAAGGAATAAAGGGAGGGAGGAATGAAGGGAAGGAAGAGAGGACAGAAGAAAGGGAGAGGAAAGAAGAAAGCAAGGAAGGAATGGAGGGAAGAAAGGAAGGAGGGAGGAAAAGAAGGGAGGAAGGAAGAAATGAAGGAAAGGGAGGGAGGAAAGAAGGGAGGAAGAAAGGAATAAAGGGAGGGAGGGAAGGAAAGGAAGGAGGGAGGGAAGGAGAGAGAGGGAGACCAGTTAAGATCATTAGGAACTGCAGCATGATGCAGTGGGGGAAATCACTGGATTTGGGGTGAGGAGACCTGGATTTGCATCCCACCCCCACCATTTCCTAGCTGTCTGTGAGTATGGACAAATAACTTAATCTCTCTGCACTTTCATTTCTGCATCTGTAAAATGGGGAGAGGCACCCTTAACACTACCTCCTTTCAGGGCTCTTGAGAAGGGGAGGGCAGAGAACACTTTGTAAATCATAAAGTACTGTATAAATGTGAGTTACAGTGAATGAACACATCTCCAGCTGGAGTCAAGGATGCCTTCGTCTGCGACTTTTTTTTTTTTTAATAGGGAAACCAGTGAGTCAGTTGGGTAATGCGATACAATAGAGTCAGAAGACCCGGGTTCAAATCCCAGTCATTTAACCTCTCCAGGCCTGAGTTTCCTCATTTTTACATGAGGCAATTGGAGCAGAAAGCCTTTGAGCTCTCTTCTAACTCTAAATTTAGGGGCCAGTGACCTCTCAGTCATTCCTGAGCAGGCAGTTAGGTGGCACAGTACACTGAGTATTAGGCTGGGAGTATAGAAAACCTGAGTTCAAATTCTACCTCATCTACGTACTAGCTGTATGACCCCAGGCAAGTCACGTAAGCTCTCTCAGACTCAGTTTCCTCATCTGTACAATGAGGATAATAGTACCTCCCGGAGTTGCTGTAAGGATCATAGGCGATTATGTAATTTAAGTGCCATGTAAGTATTATCATCATCATTAATTATTCCTGCCCTATGAAGGGCAAGGGTTAAACATCCCTTCAGTATTTCTAGGTACGAAAGTGACACTTAATTGTCCTAGAGCAGCGATTCACAAACTTTTTGGCCTTTACATTCATAAAAATGAGGATTCCCCCACCTCCCCACGAAGAGCTTTTGTTTATGTGGGTTATATCTACTGATTCTTACCACATTAGAAATTAAAACTTCTTAATATTATGAAATAATTTTTACTGCACCTCAAAAGGGTCTTTGGGACCCCCAGAGATCCCTGGTGGAGTGCAGAGGAAAATTCCTACAAGCTGTCTTTGGGCAACTGAGCTCCTACCAGTACAAAGTCTAAGATGGATGAAGGGAGTCACTTGTTTGGGAAAAGGGTGTAGGGGAGGGGTGGGCTGGCTGACCTTCACCCTGGGAGCTGCTGCTTCCTTGTGATAGGATTTTGAGTTGAAGGATAACTACCCTCCCATCTGAGTAGCCATCTAGGATGGTGGTGGTGGGGTTCAGCCACTTAACTGGGTGATTTTACCCCCTAACCTCTCTCCCTCCCAGACAAAGGAGTGCCTACCAGTGGTATCCAGCAGCAAGTTCCTGGGGTTGAGGTCCCGGCATAGCACACCCTGTTGATGTAGACCCTCAAGGGCCACCAGGGTCTCCGCTGCCCACTGCTTGACCTGTTCTTCCTTCACACACCAGGCTCCGCCCCTGTGGCCTGGACAGGCCCGGTTGGCGTGTGGACAGTCCTGACCTGGGAGCTCTTTGTGCTGGTCAGTGCCATGACCCTCTAGTACCCGGCCTGCCCCCTCCCGGATCCAGGAGAGACCTCCCAGGGGCCCCCTGTTGGTACTCCACCTAGTACTCCTTCTGGCTTGTTGATGGGACCGACCTCTGCCCCGACCTGGGCGGCTGGTCACTGCCTCGTCCCTTCTTAGGGCCTTTGGAACTAGGCCAGAAGGTGAGGTAATATCTTCTGAGGCCAGAGGGTCCTGTTCAGAGGAAGGAACATCTGTCCTGATTTTGTGTCTTCCAAAAGCATCTTCACAGGATGATATTCCATGGGACCTGAACACCTGGATTTCCCTGGATGGACTGGATACCTTGCTTCCAGGGTTCAGGTCAGGATCCTTCAAATCCTTTAACCCTTTCTGATGGTCAGGAACTCTGCCTTGAGCCCCTGATGAAATGTCAGAGGGCTGGGGTGCTGCCTCAGCTGCGACGCTGAGCTGTTGGGTGTGATTCTGGGGAAGTGGAACCGGAGTCAGGAGACCAGTATCAGGGGGACCAGGGCCAGCTTTCCCCTTCGCTCGGCGATCACCCTGGGTAGAGCTGGGCTTCTGCTGGGTTAAGTTGCTGGATGCTTCCATTCCCTGGGGTCTAGGCTGAGAGAGGAGATGAGACCAGAGAGTTCCTCCTGAACCAAGCAGAAGGAACAAAGAGAGAGTGATGGGAGAGGCGGAGTAGAGGAGAGTAAAGTCGTGGATATTCCCGACTGGCCCCCCAGCCCCTCTGCCCCCAAATCCCTTCATCAGCAGTGCAGATCTTTTGGGCTACCCTCAAACTTTATCTTCTCCCACTCCCCTTCAAACCCTTTGTACCAGCCAGACTGGTCTGCTTACTGAGCCCCTGTATGTGTCAGAAACTTTTCCACCTCCTCACTTTTGCTCACCACCAGAACAGCCTCTCCACTTTTCTCAGCCTCTCTGAATCTTATCCATCCTTCAAGACCTAGCTTAAGTTCCACCTCCTCTAGAAAGCCTCCTCCTACTGGTCCGTACTAGGTGGATCTCCATTCCCTTAATAACATTCCTTTAGCACACTGTATCTACTGGCTGCCCCTTGCCATGTTTCCTTCCAGCCATCCATACTGGCCATCTCTTGATGGGGCTACCTGTCCCCCACTTTCTCTCCCCAACTCTTTTCACATACCCAGAAAACCCTTTTTCCTGCTCACCCCACCCCTGTATTATGTGTTCTATTTCAGAGGTTCCTGACCTTTATGCTAAAGGCTAGGAGCCTTTCTAAGAATGATGTTTTATTGTCTGTGTTCATAATTGAAGGAAATGCTAATTTTCATTTAGAAGTTAGTGTAAATAAAGATTGTGGTTCTTCCTCCCACCCAAGGTCATGAACTCCTTGACATCTATTCACAGACCCTTTATGGGGCTATGGACCTCCAGTTTAAGAACCCCTGTCTTATTAGAATGTAAGCCCCCTGAGGGCAGGGGACATCTCTTTTCTAGTCTTTATCTTTCCATCATTTAGCACAGTGCCTGGCACATAGTAAGTGCTTCGTAATTTTTTTTTCAGTAATTCATTCACTCGTTCGGTACTTTAGTGTACAAATTTTAGCTCTTCATGTGTGTTTTGTCTTATCTCCTTATCTGACCTGGAGGCTTTTTGTTAGCTGGAATCAGGTCTTGCTCTTTGCATGGAGAACACACATTAAAGTACCTTGCCTACAGCAAAAGCGCACTAGAGATGGGCTGATTGAAAGAGGCAGCAAAGCCCAGGATGAGTAGACAAAGTCAGACAACCCCAACCCCACCTGATCCCATTGGCTCCTAGTGGAGACAGAGCATGGATGGCCAGGAGGTGCCTGCCTCTGTCTGTGGGAACAAAGGCAAATTTGGTCCCCATGACACAATTCCCACCGAATAGGCAAGCAAATTCCCATGCTGTTTTGTCACTGGAAAGAGTTTCTAGATAGCAGCAAGCCATTCTTGGTGCTCCAGCCCTTCCAGGAAAAAAAAAAGTGTGGGACTTTTTCCCACAGACAGATTGGGGCCTTATTGCTTTCTTGAAGTCTTTTAAAAAAATTTTTAAAAAATTTTTTAATTTTTAGGCAATTGGGGTTAAGTGACTTGCCCAGAGTCACACAGCTAATAAGTGTCAAGTGTTTGGTCTGAGGCTGAATTTGAACTCAGGTCCTCCTGACTTTAGGGCAGTGCTCTATCCACTGTGCCACCTAGCTGCCCCACCTTATTGCTTTCTGGCATTGAAGTTCATCCAATCCAAAAAGCATGGATTAGGGACAGCTAGGTGGTGCAGTGGATAGAGCACCGGCCCTGGATCAGGAGGACTTGAGTTCAGATCCAGCCTCAGATGCATAACGCTTACTAGCTGTGTGACCCTGGGCAAGTCGCTTAACTCCATTGCCTAGCTAAAACAAAACAAGAAAACAAAACAAAAAGCATGGATTAAATATTTATTATGTATGTGCAAGGTACCATGCTAGGAGCTGGGGATACAAAAACAAAACAAAAAAGTAGTCTTGGCCTTCAAAAAGCTTCTATGGGCCCAAGCTGAGACTTTTGCCCCAGCCCCCAAAAGGATTTGGCCCCAGAAAACCCTTAAGCTTTTCTTATTCTGCTCTCAAATGGTTCCTTATTGTCTCTCCTTATCTCCCTTTGAAAGTCCTAGCCCCACCTTTTGATCTTGTTCAGATGCCTTTCAAACTTCTTCCGTCCAGGTCCCTCCGTTATCTATTCCCATTGTCTATTCAGTCTCTCTGACTTTCCAATCAGAATTCTCCCTAAGGCACCTAGACCCTTATCCCTTATGCAGAGTTACTTTGGTGTACATAAGAACCACCCTGGCCCCCATTTAAACGCTGAGACTTTTTCATGCTTGCCAGGCATCCCCTGGCCTATGTGGTTTATCTCTAATAAACTTTTTCTCTGGCTGAAAGAAGATTTGGGTTGAATTCATTGAGACAAGGGCCCGTGAGTAGTGATCTCAGGGTCCCAGCACCCCTAAACCTCTAGACCTCATCACTTCCATTCCCCTGGAAATGTCCAACTCTGGTTCTGGCCCACTGAGAAAGGATAGAATCTGCCAGTCACCAGGTATAAGGAGTAAAACCATCATCTGGCCACATGGGCTGCACCTTAAAGTTTGGGGCTCACTCCTCCCTAGGGACCTAATTCCAGCTCTTGTTCTAGAGGCCTGAAAAGAGTGGCTCTGGCACTTGGGTCCCTTTCTTCCAGCATTGTAGACTCTTCAGTGGCTTCAAAGGGGGGACATAGAGGGAGTGGGAATGAAGGAGGAAGTATTCAACTACAGGCCCAAGAATATGGTTAAAATAGAAGGTCCTTGAGGACAGCTTTCTCTTTTTTTTGTATTTGTATCCCTAGCGCTTAGAGCAATGAAAATAGCATGTATGTGGCCCTTTGGAATGGCTAGATGAGCTGCATGAGTTTTAAAAGCAAACCTTTGTATACATTATTTTATTCTGTTGGTCCTGTGTTTGGAACATGGTAAGTGCTTAATAAGCCTGCCTGCCTTCCTTCTTTCTTTCTTTCCTTCCTTCCTTCCTTCCTTCCTTCCTTCCTTCCTTCCTTCCCTCCCTCCCTCCCTCCCTCCCTCCTTCCTTCCTCCTTCCTTCCTTCCTTCCTTCCTTCCTTCCTTCCTTCCTTCCTTCCTTCCTTCCTTCCTTCCTTCCTTCCTTCCCTCCTTCCTTCCTTCCTTCCTTTCTTCCTTCCCTCCTTCCTTCCCTCCTTCCTTCCTTCCTTCCTTCCTTCTCTCCTTCCCTCCCTCCTTCCTTCCCTCCTTCCTTCCTTCCTTCCTTCCTTCCTTCCTTCCTTCCTTCCTTCCTTCCTTCCTTCCTTCCTTCCTTCCTTCCTTCCTTCCCTCCTTCCTTTCTTTCCTTCCTTCCACCCTGTTCCCCTCCTTCCCCCTATAAAAATGCCCTTCCACCCTCCTGTCTCTCCTCCACATTAAGGTATTGAGGCCTCCTTAGTATTTAACATTTTAAAAGAGGTAAGATTGAAGCAAATGCCTTAGCCCAAAGGGATGAATATTTGACAGATTGAATTGTAGGCACTGACAGATCTCCTGGAGGAGGTATTTCTTGTGGGCCAGGATCCTTTAGGCAGGCAGTTCTCCAAGGGTGGTCAAGGGATCCCTGAGGGTTCCTGAGACCATTTCATGTTATCCATTAGGTAAAAATTCTTCTCATAATCATACCAAGATGTTTGAATTTCTAATATGGTAAATGTCAATAGATATAACCCAGAAAAACAAAAACTCTTTGAGGAGGTCCTTAATTTTTAAGAGTGTAAAACGGTCCTGAGACTAAAAAGTTTGAGAACTGCTGCTACCTACCTTTAGGTATACCTTTTGGGAAAGAGGAGAGAGTAGGAATGAAGAAGAGGGAGAAGGGAAGGGAATTCAAAGGCCACTGAGAAGGATTCTGGGTTGGCAGAGGCAACCCTGGTAGATGGACCTGGATCTAGGGCTCCCACTTACCCTGCACGTGCTCCAAGTGCAAGAAGATGGAGTCCTCACTCACAGAGTAGCGAAGAAGCTTGGCCATGTAGGGGACGCCATTGGGGATGATGGTTGGACGGTTCCAGGTCTCTACGTGGCATTTGGGAAGACTCTAGGAAGAAGGGAAGACAGCTCAAAACAAGGAGAGACAGGACTCAAAGAATATTACCCCATCAGAAAGGCAGGGGACTCTGGGGTCACCCCAGCCTCAGAAACAGCCACCCAGAAATGTGCGGCAGTGGTAAAAGTTGGCTGGCAAACGAGCTGGGACCAAGAAAACATGAATATGTAAGGATGTAATTGAATAAGATTAGAATCAAAGGCGATGTAGCTGGGGCACATTCTCATTAGTTGGCCTCCCCTGTAAGAGCTTGCAGACACACTTTCTTGCTGCTGGAATCTGATTTTGAGCTGTCTACCCATCAGGCCAAGTTCCTATAGCAAGCAGGAACAATTTTAGAAGTGGAAGCTCAAGCTCTAGCCCTTGGGAAACTGACTGCTCATGGTGGGTTCCATGCCCTGTTTGCAAATTAAGGTGCTGCAGAACAGTTTGGTCCCAGAAAGGTGTGTCCTGTTTGTGTGGTCTCCAGAAAATGGAGGCCCGGGAGTAGAACCTCCATTGGTCAGTGCTTGGCCTTTCCTTGTATTCCCAGAACTTAGCATAGTACCTAGTATATAGTGAGTGTTTAATAAAGGCTTATTAACTGACTGACTTTTTGTCTGTGGGGCATCCTTCAAGGGAGGCAGGGGATGGGGACCTAGGAATGAGTAGGAAGGCCAATCAGCTCAGGGGGAACTTGGCTGGGCTTAGATGCTCCATGTGATGGAATCAAATGCTGAAGAACAGGAAGGGGGTGGGGGATTCCAAGAGGGAGAGGTAGGCTACTGAGCTACACTTACCTTCACTACAAAGGTCCCCCCAGTGGCAGGGTCCTGGACCAGCTGAACCTGTAAATAATGGAACAAAAGGGCAGGTGGGCTAACACCAGGTTCTCAGGTAACCAGGACCTGGCCTTCCCATTCTGAAATGCCAAGCCCTCCCAGATTCTCACCTCTAGAATTAAAAGGATGTCAGAGCAGAAGGACACCTGTAGAGAGCACCTGGATTGGGACCTGTCATATTTCAGATGAGAGAACTGAGACCCAGAAGTAGTAAAAATGACCTGCTTAAAGTCACATATCAAATTAGTGTCAGAAATGGGACTAGCAATATTTCAAGTGCATAGAATGGTTTATGATTTATGAAGCTCTTTCCTCACAAATATCCTCTGGGGCGGGTAGTACAAGTGTTATTACCTGCATCTTACAGGCGAGGAAATGCTAAAGCTAAGGAATTTGACCATGGCCCCGTAATCCTTAGCCAAGACTTGAACTCAACTTTATCTGACTCCATGGGCTTTGGGCGATGGGCTTCCAACTGTCCCTTTGCTCTGGGTTCACAGACCTTTTTACACATCTCTTCCATTCTTGGCAGAAGAGGAAAAGGGTCTCAGGCATGCGTGGATTGGGAAGGTTTCCCGTCCATGTAGAGGAACTGGGAGGGGGAGGGTGGAACAAAGTGAGTTTATGTATTTATTTTCTTTTGCATTTATTTCCACCTCATTAAAAATCCGTGTGAACACCGTATGGCCAAAATATCCCAAGTCAATGAAAGTATTAGGATGTGACTTTTGAGAATGAAATATTTCACAGGCTCAGAGTTAGAGAGACAGTTGATTTCATATTAATTTGGAACAATATTTTATTTTATCCCAGAGTTGAGATTGGGCCTGGGCCAGCAGGGGAAGGGGTTAATTAAGTAGCTTAGGCTGCAGGCTGACTGCCCTTGGGTGGTCACTCAGGATACTGTAGCCCAGAGCATCTCATAACACCTGGGCTGATGGCTTGAGTAGAGTGTCATCTGGTGGGTGATCTGTGTACTACACCCAGCTAATTAAACTTTCTTGTTGGGTACCAACGCAGTGAATTGCTATCTTTCTGTAAGCTACAGGAAGACAGCATGAATCTCCCAAACCAGAGCCCCTGTCATCTGTGTGCCGGAAGCAGGATCCGAACCCAGATCTTCCTGACAAAAAGGCCAGCTCTGTATTTAGTGTGAACAAAATGCCTGGCATTTAGGGCCCCCTACAATCTGCCTTCTGCTCCTTTTCCAGTCTGTTTTCTGTTATTCCCCTCCATATACCATCTATCGCAGGTTAGCTGGCCTGTGAGCTGTGCTTTCCCTGTCTATACTAACATCTAACCAGTATTGGTCACCCTCCCCCAACCAAAAAAATACCAAAACAAGCTAGGTGGGAACCCCTGCTTCCAGGTAATCAGGCCAGCCTTCCAGAGGTGAAAGGTCACTTCTGCTCCCTACCTGACAGAAAACACCCACAAAGAGCAAATTACCCAGAGCCTAGGTCATTGGATATATGATTTTTTTTTGTGGGTCAACCCAGCATACAGTCTCCCTAATTGGCCCAGCACTGCAGACCACAGAATCCTAGATCTAGAATCAAAAGAGGATTTCAGAAGCCATCTATCAAGTCCAACCACCTTGTTTTCCAGGTAAGAAAACTAAAACCTGTAGAGGCTGTGACTTACCCAAGCAAGGTCCCACAGCTGGTACATGGCAGAGCTGGGCTTTGAACCCAGGCCCTGTGACTCTAAGGGTCAGCTAGGTGGTGTAGTGGATAGAGCACTAGGCCTGGAGGCCGGAAGACTCGTCTTCCCTGGACTCAGACACTTCCTAGCTGTGTGACCCTGGGCAAGTCACTTAACCTTGTTTGCCTCAGTTTCCTCATCTGTAAAATGAGCTGGAGAAGGAAATGACAAACCACTCCAGTATCTCTGCCAAGAAAACCCCAAATGGGGTCAGAGAGAGTCAGACACAAATGAATAACAAATTGTGACCCCAAATCTAGCTATTTTACCCCCACTGTGCCACGCTTTTTCATAATGCAGGAACCATTGTTGTAGTGGGGATACCGGGGTCTGAGGCAGATCCTCGATGATCCTAAAATCCAGAGCTTTGACTTAGAGCTAGAAGAAGCCTTAAAAGTTATCTGGACCAATCCCCTTATTGTACAAATGAGGAAACTGAGGCTCAGAGTAGTGGATAGAGCAATGGGCCCGAGATCCGGGCGTTCAAATCCGACCTCAGATACTTACTAGCTGGGTAACCTTGGGCAATCGTTTACTTCTGCCTCAGTTTCTTAAACTGTAAAATGGGACAGTAGCAGCTATCTTCCAGGGTGGTGGTTGTGAGGATCATGAGATACTATCTGTAAAGCACTCATTGCAGTGTCTGGGATGTAATAGGTGGTTATCGAGTACGTGTTTCTTTCTTTTTTTCCAAGCTGGGGCTCAAACCTGAATCCTCTTTTTTTTTCGTAGCTGATCTTCAATCCAATGGAACCACACTGTCTGTTCCTTTTTCCCAAACGAATTGTTAACACTGTGAGACACCCCCAGCTCTAACAGCATACTTATTGTTGTTCAGTAATTTCAGTTGTCTCAACTCACGACCCCATTTGGAGTTTTCTTGGTAGAGATACTGGAGGGGTTTGCCATTTCCTTCTCCAGCTCATTTTACAGATGAGGAAACTGAGGCAGACAGGGTGAAGTGACTTGCCCAGGGTCACACAGCTAGTTAAGTGTCTGAGGCCAGATTTGAACTCAGGATGGTGACTCTTCCTGACTCCAGGCCTGGCACTCTATCCACTTTGCTACCTAGTTGCCCCAATTGTACATAAATTGCATACAATTTAGTGCTTTACCATATTGATCCAAATATAAGCCACACATACACCCCCCCCCCCAAATGAAATCTCCTTGGAAAGAAAAAAAAGTGGCAGTAGACTGGAAAATAACATTGATTTTAGGCTGCATGCAGGTTTTCTACGAGCCAGATCTGGAGAAAAAGTGTGGCCCGTATATTGATTTCGTAGCAAATGTGCCACCTTGCCCTGTGTTCTAATTATTTTCTGTGTCTTACACTTGCATGCCTTACTAGACCCTCTGTTCGATGAGGGCAGGGAATGTCTTTTGCTGCTTCTATATCCTCCACAACATCAGACAACTCACTCGTTTATTAATTGATAAATTATTGATTGATAAAACTGATAAAAATTGATATTGATTGATAAAAAAACTCTTTGGGAGTTTTTCATCTTTTCACCTTATGCACTTACGCATCTTATGCTTAACCAGGTTCCCAAAGGCCCCTCTAGTCCATCCCTGGCGTGGCCGATTTTTTTTCTCCCAGGAAAGAAATGGATTTGAGTTCACATTTAGAGCTGCTCAGTGTGATGGCATCGTGGGAGATTGTGTCTCCCATGGTTCATGGAGAAGTCAAGAGGGGCCTTGGAGTCATAGCATTTCACGAAGTATAGCGTGGGCTCTGGTGGGCTCTGTTACCAACCTGAGTGGTCTCACCTCTCCCTAGGCAGCCTTGAGGCACTCTGTTCCCAAGGGTTCACAGTTCTGGCCTGAGCGGGACGCTCAATCTACCAAAGTTCTGAACTCCCAAGCTCGAGCTGCCCACTAGCCTCAGCCTCCCTGAATAGGAAAGAAGGAAGGAAATAAGCATTTATTAAGCACCTGCTGTGTGGCACATAGTAGGTGCTTAACAAATGATAATTGAATTGAATTTCCAGGTACTGTGCTAAGCCCTTTACAGAAGCTATCTCATGTGACCCTTACGGCAACCCTGAGAAGTAGGTGCTATTGTTAGTCCCATTTTACAGATGAGGAAACTGAGGCAGTCATTGGCTAAGTGACCGACTAATCAGTGCTTCAGTTTGAGGTCAGATCTTCCTGACTTTAGGCTCAGCCTCCACGTACTGTGGCATCACCTAGCTGCTTAAGAAGGTAGGAGAGTTAATAGAAAAAAATATGACTTTATAAGCTAAAAAAAAGTCAAACTCCTTTTTGTTGTAGTGCAGTGGAGAAAGGTGATTATAGGATCATAGATCTTCAGCTACAGAGGCCCTCAGAAACTGCCTCCATTTTACAGACGAGGAAACTGAGGCTTAGGAAGTCAGGTGACTTGCCCAAGCTGGCACAGGCAAGTGGCAGAGCCAGGATTCAAACCTGGGTCCTCTAACTCCAAATCCAGCGTTCTTTCCACTGCGACACACTAGACACGATTTGTCTATCATCGACCCATCATCCTGTTTGGGTTCAGGCTAGTTTAGCATGAGTTTGGAGGGTCCAGATGTTGGGGTACATGTGACCCACAGTTGCAGGGCATGGCATCCCTGGCTACCAGGCAACCTCTAGGGGGTATCAAAGGAAAAGACGGTGGACTGGCACAGAAGGGCAATTTCGGGGAAGAGGCAGAATGTAGTAAGCCTCAGTGAGCGGTCAGGGAGGGTGGGAAGAGAAACCTCCAGCTCAGCATTCCATCTCCACCCTCAGAAACGTGCCGTGGGGAAGACGGTCCAAGAACACACAGTCACGGTGCCCCTCCTTGACCAACGTCATCTGGGAACAACTTAAATACATCCCGAGCAGACCCCACCACAAGAAGCTCTATTGTCACGTCATGTTCCAAAGTACCCCCTAATGATAAATCAATACAACTATTGCCACATTTTCACAGAAGCTATTTCAGGCCAGGCGGGGCCTGCCTGTGGAATTAAACCCTCTTAACCCCAAGGTCCCTTTCCTACCGCAGATCACTTCACGGTTGATTATATTGAGAAAGAAAAGGCCGCCAAGAAATGCGGGGGAAATCCCCACCATGTCAGGATGCTGGGCAAGGCTCCGTAAGGGATTCAGGCCAACATATTTTTCTTTGACCCTTGAAATGTGCAAATAACATAAGAGAATCCCCACTCCTGTTACCAAGCAAATGCCTTCCTACCGTCTGGATGAGTCAGTCCCACCCTGGACCTGGGAATGCTATTCTTGCAATGAAAACGTGAAGGAGAGAAGATTTATGTAGGTATGATAGCCAGAGT